CAAGGGGATCTCCAGTGGCCTACTAATGGGCTTTGGATCTCCACTCTGCACTCCCCCCATCATTCACTATGGTAAGATTTTTTTGTTCTTGATGGGAGTGGAAAGCCCAGTCTTTCACCCGAGGAGCTGCTGGTGGTTTTGAACTACTGACCACAGGGACCGTAGTCTGGTAATAATCAGGCCTCGTTGAGTTGAAGAATGGGGCCTCTGAATTCAGGATATCTGGATTCGCATCTCATCTGTGGTCCTACCAGATGAGTGGCGTGGTTCTGTTCACGGCAAGCATTCATCGAAGGACAGGCCCGGCCCTAGGCCTCTGTGTATTCATCTGTGAGATGTGACCGGCTATCGCGCCAGGAGGACGACGTGAAACAGGATGTGCCGAGTGCCTGAGCCCCGGGTTAGAGTTCAGATTCCCAGGATGGAGAGCAGAGAGGAGCTCGGGTTGGAAATGTGAGAGTCGTTCTCTGACGAAGCTGTCTATTAGAGACTCTTCGGGGAGTCTGCCGTGGTCCTTTGCCATCTTGTTGGCCTCTGACTCAGGACAACACCAGGCACAAAAGGGAACTGGGCTTTTGTGACTTAAAGGACTTCATTGGCCAGTTACCCAAGCCCAATTGTCAGGCCTTTCTCCCCAGCTGGTTTTCCTCAGGAATCTCTTCCAAAAACCTGTTCAGCATCGTAGCCTGCGTGTGTTTTCCCTGACAGTTCGCTGTGGCCATGCCGGAGGTACGTTGGCCGGGGCTCCAAGCTGGGTCTCCCACGTTCAAGCCCAGGATTCTGCCAGAGCATCAGTGGTCTAAGGCAGTGGTGCTGGGGCCAGGTTGCCCAGGCTTAAATGCTCACCCCCTGGCTTGTGGGTTCTACAGCCTCCAGCAAATTACTGAGCTTTCTGCTTCTGCCTCAGAGGGTTGTGGTGAGGATGAAAGGACCTACACCATGTGAGGTAGTGGTTATGAGTTGGGCTGCAATCTGCATGGTTGGCGGTTCACAACCACCAGCAGCTCCACAGGAGAAAGACTGGGCTTTTCAGTCTCAGAAACCCACGTGGGTTCGCTATGAGTCAGCACTGACTTGTGGCAGCAAGTTGGTTGTTGGAACCTATGTGAAGTGTTGAACTGTGTACAGCACTGCCTGGTGTGAACCAGGAATCAGGGTTGTGGTTATTGTGGTGGTTACCGTGTGTGGTGTGTGTTTTAATTGAGTGTACCCTTGAACACAGAAAGGCGCCTTGACAGATCTCTGTATTTGGGGGAATCTGAAGGCAAGGATCTCCTTTCCTGGGCCCACGGACCAGTGGCGGCTGTTTGAATAGAATGAATGTTTGGTGGCCCATCTGTAAGCGCAGTGGCTGCCGCCAGTCTGGCTGTGTTCAAAGGAGATCAGCAGGAACCATGTGCTAGGAATGTACATGCTACGCAGATGTTGGGGTTTGCAGAAAGTGAGGCAACCTTCGGCCTTAGGACAGGAGGTCCCTGGTGGTGTAGCAGATTAAGTATCGGGCTGCTAATACTTAGTATTAGTTGGCAGTTCAAGCCTACCAGCCTGTCCATGGGAGAAAAATGAGGCTAGATCACTCCCGTAAAGATGTGCAGTCTTGGAAATCCTAAGGAACAGTTATAATCTGTGGGGTCTCCCTAAGTCAAATCAGTGCCGCAGCCCTGGGCCCCTAAGAGGGCCCTCAAAGGACTGGTCAGGAAGGAGTCATTCTGGAAGCACGAGGCTGAATCTTCTTTAGTGTACAGGACATTAGATCAGCTGTCAGAAGAGATGTGGGCGTAGGATTGAGATTCCGGGAGGAAGAAGTAGGGATCAGAGTGGATCCGGAAGCGAGGCGCAGGG